AGCTTTTGGGAGCACTCGCACTACGTGTTAGTGTCCAGATTAAAATCAACAGATGCTGCATAAATGCCCAGCCTTGCATAAATTACAGCACCTACCAGCCTAATAAGTATTTATTGCAGTCCCTTCAGTTCAACAGAATCAATATTTCATTCAGTATTCCATAAATCTACTTCCGCGCCGTATACTGCATTTCGCTACTACCCGCAGACATTCATCTTACTAGTTTTCAATAACAGAGATGATTTAATTTCATCGCTACATATATTTCTTAGTATAGTTCCTAGTGGAAATTGCGGATATGTGGAATAGATTATATACACTGAAAACTAAATTTGTCTGACAGCTTAAGTTTAATGTGTAGATTCACGCCGAGCTCGCGATTTTACATCAGAACGCATTTCTATACATGAGGTCAAGCGGTCATAAAAGGCTCAATCAACATGACCTACTATAATGACGCCGGAACATTGCACGTACACGTGACATACAAGTAGTTTTTGGAACGGAGCTTTTAAGAAAACCTTTAGGATATCTAACACGGAACTTGACTGTCACCTAAGTCAGATGACCTAGAGAAGGACCTCAAAGGTTACTTGGAGGTCAAGTTTGTGTACTCAAATAATAGCTACGATGTGTTTGACAGCAGATGTGGTACATTAAACTTTACCCTAGAAGCCATTGCGTGGGAACTTTCGAGTCAATATACTTTTTTTAATGGTTTGAAAATTATGATTGTAACAAGCAGTAGAGTTACTAAAATGTGGACTCCTTGAATCCGGGACACTCTCTGAACCCACACTGAACAGACGACTCACGTCATATTCCACATTTCATACCAATTCCCATATAATTTCACATAAAAGGGGGATCTCATCAATACATCATACACGGCTTGTTTTATTAAATATCAGCATTAAAGGAAAACCCTTTATTCAGGAAGTCATTAACGATAATATGACAGCGTTTGTTGTGAAGTCGTTAACGAAAGAAAAAAATAAACGCTAATATACTAAGTGACATATAAATCCGAACACCCAGTTTAAATGGTTTTATTTTAATAAAAGTTGGTGAATGTATTTATCTTACTGTAAATAACAAGTGAAAAAATTTTCAGCCTTATCAGTTGGACATTCCGGTTGTTATACTGCTTTTTTTTAATTCACTAACGCTCTAAAAATGAATATTTCAGCCGCAGTAAAGAATCAACGTTGGCGGATTTTGGTTCTTAACATCCTTTACGATCGGTTACGATGCCTAGAGTACGGAGACCTGTACGATTTCGTTAACTTAGTGAGTTTGATAGGGGCCGAATAGTGGGACTTCGGGAAGCTGGACATTCTTTTCGGGCAGTTGCAGTTAGAGTGCAAAGAAGTGTAGACACTGTGGTCAGGTGTTGTCAGGCATGGCTTCGAGAAGGCCGTACGCAAAGAGTAAGGGGCACTGGACGCCGCCGTAGAACAACAGACCGTGAAGATCGCCGCCTAAGATTATTGGCCTTAAGGGACCGTTTCCCCACTACCAGGTCCATTGCAAATGAATGGTTTGCAGAACACGGAAAACCTATTGGCATGCGAAGTGTTTACCGACGAATGAGAACTTTTGGCTTGTTTTCATACCGGCCACACTGGGTCCTCCCTTTAACTCGAGAACACCGACGTAATCGCCTTGAGTGGTGCAGACAACGGTCACTCTGGGATCAGGAATGGAACAGTATTGTCTTTAGTGACGAGTCTCGATTTTGTTTAGGCATGCACGATGGTCGTGCCAGGGTTAGAAGGCGACGTGGTGAAAGGAGGAATCCACAGTTTTTTGTTGAAAGACATGTTCATCACACTGTTGGAGCTATGGTTTGGGGTGCTATAGCTTATGGTTCCAGGTCACCTTTAATCTTCATCAGAGGTAACATGAACGCGCAGCGTTATATCCACGAAGTTATAGAACCCCATCTTTTACCCTATCTTGACACCCTGGCAGATCGAACTTTCCAACAAGATAATGCCCGACCACATGTTGCAAGAGTCACAATAGACTTCTTTCAACATAATGATGTCACATTGTTACCATGGCTACCAAGATCTCCCGACTTAACCCCAATTGAGCACGTGTGGTATATGATGGGTAGGAGATTGCTCAATTTGCAGCGTCCTCCTCAGACTCTAGAAGCACATTGACCACCTGATCAGAAGCATGACTAGGCGCGTTGGAGAACGCGTAGCACATCAGGGTGCATCCACACATTATTAAAGGTCAAAGGGCTTTAAAGCAGCGCAATCATTTTGAAATTTTTATCATTTACTTATTATGCTTCATTAAGTACTTATACAAAATTTTATTAAAATAAAACCATTTAAACTGGGTGTTCGAATTTATATGTCACTTAGTATATGAATGCTTGGTAGAGTCATGAAGTTCTTTCTTACTTCTGAAGACCTTTCTGCAGAATTCTCTTCTATGGATGTTGAATTTCAATCTGATTTTTCTCTTCTGTTGAACAAGTACGCTAGAAATTGAGGTTGATTGACCCCAAGTTATTATGTTTCTTGATAAAAATGTGAGTGGACGAGAGCATAATGCACATCTAGCAAAGCTGATTCTGATAAGCTTAAGAATCGCATAATATAATTGGTACAACTTTTTACGCACACTGTCCATGTGTTGTTGCCATTTGAGCTTTGCATCCATTTCTATTCTCAAGAATGTCATAGCTTTAGATGTCTCATGGTTTGCTAGAATAGGGCCGTTCGTATAAAAATGTACAATATCTGACTTTTCAAGGTTTAAAATCAAACGGTTTGCTTGGCACCACTATCTCATTTCATTTATTTTTGCAATAATAGACTTCAAACTGTTATCGTCTTTGAAGGATAATCCAAAACATACCATTTTGCTGTGTATGAAAGTGTCGTTCACTTAAGCTGCACCAACAGACGGCGACTGTACTATAGTTGTACATTCTCTACTACAACCTGTAAGCTCCATATTTCTTGGAGCGTAGCGATACGATACGCAGATCCGTAAATTATAAAGCCCGTGTATATTTCTAATTGGTGTCACCTGCATGCAGTCAACCTAATAGACCTATTCGTGCCACCTGTTCTTTGTTCTACGCCCGTTGCCGCTGGGTAATGTAGCAGGACCGGGATCGGTACAGGGCACGCTCACATTTCGTGCTACAATTTATTATCGTTATCGACTGGTAATATGCTTTTGAAATACCTCTGGAATACCGTTAAGATCGAAGAATGGCTTTACTTAATCATGGGGAAGGGAGATTGTGTGAAACGTTATGTGGAGTTTGCACGTTGCTTGAACTTCAATTTCAGGCTTACTCGTAGTCACTATTTTAACCCTGGAGCGCTTAGGCGAATAGCACGGCTACAGTTGCTTAGGCGGGGTAACCAATAACCCCAGAGATATATTCCTATTTAATGAACAAAATATAAAAGATAGACACCTTTGTTTCAATAATAAAATATTTATTTCAAACACTCGGTACATATTTCAGCTCGATGATTACTGCAAACAGCCTTGAAACATTTCGCACAGGCTGTTTTTGTTTTTCGGTCATTTGTTCTTGGACATAAAATGCAGCGAGTCTGTTTTAGCAATTTTGCTGGAGGTGGATCAACTTTTTCTTCTGTTTTCATATCTAGAATATTCATCATTGATTCTCTCAATTTTCGAGGTATTGGTTTTGTCAAACGTCTTTCCATATGAGGCCTGACCAGTTGTAGTCCAAGTTCAAATAGATATTTTTGACGAACACTTTTTTGTCTATCACGCTTAACAATTTGGAAAATAATGTTGGAGTTAATGCGTGCTTGATCCATTATACCATAAAAAAAGCGTAATGGCCACCTGCGTGTTTTGCGGGATACCTAATATGTGTGCACCATCTGGTCAAAGGTATCGACACCTCCTTTGGCAGAATTGTAAAAATTTATTATCTCGGGTTTTTTATTTTCATCTATTGTACTACCAGAATGCATTGTCGATAAAAGTAGCACATATTTAGACTTCTTGGGTGCGAAGGACACCAAGGTTTTTTGGTTGTCGAATCCAAATTGAGAAGACATAATTTCTTTTCGTTTGTTTGGGAGAAATGATGGAGGAATTTCCCTCTTGTTTTTTCTGAGAGTACCCACAATGGTCAAATTGTAGTCAACAAGCATTTTGTCAGCCAGTGGGATGGAAGTAAACCAATTGTCTATCGTCAAATTGCGTCCGGTTCCGTGAATGGGTTCTGTCAGTTTTCGTACGTAATAAGCTGGGAGAGGTTCTTTATCTGGCCTATTTTCTTTGCCGATATATGGAATAGCAGTAACCTACAATATCTGCGTGAATCACATATCGTTACAACTTTGATTCCATATTTGTCAGGTTTTGATGAAATGTATACTCTAAAAGGGCAATTGCCTCGAAATCCCAATAACTGTTCGTCGATGGTACAATAACTGTGAGGAGTATAGTATTTTGTACAGTTAGATATAAGCATTTCCCATATATTACGTACTGGAGAAAATTTATCTTCTCGGTCTCTCATGGTTTCGTCGTCAAATCTGAGGTAAGATATCAAAAATCTAAACCTTGTTTCACTCATTATGCATCGATGCACTTCTGGTCCATGCTTTGACCACATTTCTGCAGTAGTTAGATGATTGTCTTTTCTACAACCTGTCATATAAAGCAGTCCTATCAAAGCCAAGATCTCTTCTCGTCTGTCTCGTTAACAAAGCCACAATTAGCAACATATTTCCCTCTTTGGCGTTCTATTTCCATATTTGTATGCACCACTATAATATCTATAACATTCGCGCTAAAAAATAACTTCCATGCCTCTAATTCCGTTGAAATATTTTTGGCCGCACCTTTTGGTCCTGGAATACATGAAACAATGTTTCGCTTAGGTGTTCGAGTACGACATGGAAGCTCAGTGCTCCAAATATGTCCATTTTTTCCTTTTATTACTTTGCCAGGGAGTTGTTGTTCTGTCTCACGCTCTACTTCACTATCATCCGTTGAGTAGGTGCTCTCCCTGTCGGACTGAATTGAAACATGGTCGTCATAGTCAGTGCCGTCATTATCTGAATTAGGTTCATTGTCGAGTTTTTCATTCCATCGTAACAGAGTTTCTTCAAATTTGGGATCATCTGGTCGGACAGTTATCTAAATAAATTACGTAATCTAGTGTGTGGAATAAAATAAAAATACCAGTTTAAGCTTACCTGGGGTTACTCGTCACCCCAAACACAAAATATCATATAAACTATTGCACTGAACAAAAATGTGCGACCAACAACACACACACTTTAACCTCAAATGAACATAGCAGGATCTCCGATGTTGCCAATTTATGCACAAAAAATTAGTGAACATTTGAATTTTCTTTGGGGTGATGCGAAATCCCAGTAAGCATTACAAGGTTAAACGTACTGGGTAGAGTGATGGTTGCAGCAGTACGTATCGATCTTCCGAGTACTTGGAGAGAACACTATTCTGTATTTTGGATTCTAGGGTAGGTCACAGCCTACGAGGGTAACATATAGAGATACGCATGCCCCCTATTTTTGTTCCTTTTGACTCTAAGAACTGGAACTGTCAAACTTTAAGTTTGATAGTTAATAGTGAAACAATGTATGGATCTACCCTACTCTTATTTGACAAATAAGACAGTGCTTTATTTGTATCTTATAATTCTTAGATACCTTTTTACAATTAAAAGAACATTATTCAATAAATTTTATTTTTAAAGTTTTCTTTTAAAAGTCAGAATATGCTTGCCTGTGTTCTCGTATGAAACGTTATAAAAATTGTTTTTGTTCCTTATCAGCATTGGAAGTCTTGCATTAACTTTACTGCTCTTCCTGCGGCATCGTTAACTGCTCTCAGTGTTTGAGCGTTGAAAAAATCATTATGTGGCCTTAAAGTTGGATACTCGTCGAGTAAACTGTCATCAATTTTGAGTCGACTGAACAACGACTTGCTTTCGATTGAAACAAAGTCATCGATAATTTTGTTCTCATCAGTATCGTCTAGGTTTGGCCTCAGGTCATGACAACGATCGAAAGCATAGCAACAAACCTCTATCTGGAGTATAAGATCAATCGAGACAAGACTATACAGGGTGTTTCAGTTTATTGTTGCATAACTTTAAGATTCGATAGAACTTTTAAAATTAATGCATAAAGTCTATATAAATATGGGTCGAAAAATGCGTGGCTTCCGAAATTTGCTTTCTAAAATAGTTTTTTTTAAATATTTCGAACAATATTTGATGCACAACAGTAAAAATTGGTATACAAGAGTTTTTTGGTACGAAAAAACGAACCATGGGCATAGTTTTACTGTAGCCGCTAGAGGGCGCTCTCTACTGTACCTGTCGTGCATCGAAGTGACCGAAAAATTTTTCATAGTACAATTTTTTGCTTTTTGAATAAAAAAGCTGATTCTTCTCACTTTTCAACATAAAAAAGCTCTCTCGTGAATTTTCGTTATAGTTAGCCGTTTTTGAGATATTTCGATTTTTAAGGTTCGATGCATTTTTAATTATTTATGATAAAATAACGTTAAAAAGTCAGTATCTCGATAATTTTTAGAAGTAGGCTGTACCTGCAAATATTTTTGAAATTGAAAGCAGAATAAGGTTAAACGTCAATTAGTTGACAGTTAGTTTTGTTGTCTGTTGAAACCTGGAACGTTTTTTTGCAATTGTGAATGCACGAAATTTAGTTTCCTTTACCTGTTTTTTTTTGTAAGTTTTATAAAAATGCCATTTTTATTCTCCAATCAAGAGTTAGCCGATATTCATTTTGTGTATGGCTTTGTAAATGGAACCGCAGCAGAAGCAACCAGAGAATACGCACGAAGATTTCCAAACTGACGACATCGAACTCGCTCAGTATTTGTAAGAGTGCATCGCCAAATAATTCAAAATGGTTTTGGAAATCTCCAAAGGGATCAAAACATAAATGTTCGTCAGCGCAGATTTACGCGTATGATTCTGCCTGAGTTTGATAGAGATCCGACCACAAGTGTTAGGAGAGTTTCTGGAGTCAGGGGACGGAGAGCGAAGAATCACATTTTGTCAGTGGATTCTTGATAGAACTGATAATAATAGGGAGTTTATAAGTAACGTTTTATGGACCGATGAGTCATGCTTCACTAGACGTGGAGTGGTAAATGTTCATAATCAACATATTAGGTCGCATGAAAATCCGCATGCAGTTCGGGAAAGAAATTTTCAGCATGAATTTAGTGTGAACGTGTGGATTGGTATCTACCGTAATCGACTATTTGGACCCTACCTTTTGCCTGCAAGGTTAAATGCTGCGACCTTCTTGGAATTTTTAAAGGCTGATCATGTAAATATGTGGGATGATGTTATGTTAGATTTAAGAGGATTGGCCTGGTTCCAGCTTGATGGTTGTCCAGCTCATTATTCGAGAATAGTTAGAAACTGGCTGGACGAAATTATCCAGAAAGATGGATCGGCCGTGGAGGACCAGTCGTCTGGCCTCCACGATCCCCTGACCTCAATCCATTAGATTTCTTTGTGTGGGATTTCTAAAAGAAGGAGTGTACCAGACTCCCGTAACCACAAGAGAGATGCTAATAGACAGAATCAGGAATGCATGTGATGAGATAAGGCCTTATTTGAATAATGCTATACCACGTTCGATCATTTGTAGATGTGAATTGTGTATTGAACAATTGGGTTTACATTTCGAGCAACTGCTTAAGATTTTGTATGTTTGTTCTAACTATCCAATAGCATTTTAGTTGTAAATAGTTAATTTAATTTGTTAAAAATAATATTGGAAAATTAAACAAATTAATATTCTTTTTTTTGTGTTTATTTGGAGTTAGGAATTATTGCTGGGTTTAAAAACACAATCTAAACGATCTTAATTACGTGTAATGCCCAAATCGAAAAATGTAAAAAAAACATATTATTTTCCCATAAATAATTAAAAATGCATCGAACCTTAAAAATCGAAATATCTCAAAAACAGCTAACTATAACGAAAACTCACAGGGAGCTTTTTTATGTTGAAAAGTGCGAAGAATCAGTTTTTTTATTCAAAAAGCAAAAAATTGCACTAAGAAAGGATTTTCGGTCATTTTAATACACTACAGGTACAGTAGAGAACGCCCTCTAGCGGCTACAGTAAAATTATGTACATGGTTCGTTTTGTCGTACCAAAAAACCCTTGTATACCAATTTTCACTGTTATACATCAAATATTGTTCGAAATATTTAAAAAAAACTATTTTAGAAAGTAAATTTAAACACCCTGTATTTCGGAAGCCACGCATTTTTCGACCCATGTCTATATAGACTTTATGCATTAATTTTAAACGTTCTATCGAATCTTAAAGTTATGCAACAATAAACTGAAACACCCTGTATAAGGTATACTGCCAGAATCGAAGCTTGTGCTGGCTTAACTGTTGTCATATTACATCGAAGCAGTAAAAGAAGACAGACGAAAATTTGTTTACCATAAAGTGGGTCAGGTAGTTCTTCTGTCGATGGGTCGTAGCGTTTACCGTGGGCCGATGTAGGTTCTTTGGCTGCATCAGCAACAATTTTTACTTTAGTTTTCTTATCTACGTCGTCGTCAAACAGAGATAAGACAGAGACCTCATCTGTCAAATACATAGAAAAGTTGGCAGAACGTTTGTGAAGCTGCTTCTGAAATGCTTTTGTCAATTCTTTCGTAAGCCTCTTTTGCCTGAGCTGCCTAAGGTTAGTAGAACTAGGAAAAGCCTCCTCTTGTAGATTGCTCCAAATCTCGACACCCTCGGGTCAAAGGAGCGGATCCTATCGGCCAGTTCTGTATGTACGAAGTTTGACCCGGTTAGGATGGGACGCCAAGGTCAGGCCGGTCTGTCTGGCAGGCACATCGCCCGGTGTCATCATGGAAGAGACCACTGAGGAGCAAAGCCCGTTGTTGTAGCGGTAGAAAAGAGCTAGATCGTCGACGGACCGCCTAGCACGTGCCAAAATCACGTAACCTTCTTTTTTCATGACTTATCCGTAATTTTAATTTATCTTCATTAATAATAGAGTGCCCGTTCCTAGGATAAACCCTTTTCAAGGATTTTCTTTTGTCAAATTCAATAGTTTATTGATTGTATAATTTCACTCGTATTATATCTTTCATTCTCAGCGATTCAGCATGGTATTGACGATCAGCAAAAAAGTCTTTTTCTCCGTTAGTTGGTGTCCTATAAAATATATCTTCTTCAAGGCCACTCAAGATACCTTCTTCTAGAACATTACGTGTTCTGTTTCCGTTGAGGTCGTGGTGCAAAGGTCGTTTCGTAATTTTCCGGACTCTGGGATATTATGCCCCAATTCATGGACTAGCACCCTTTTATTTGTGTAACTTCAGTTTAGTCATTCTTGTTTGGGTGCTACGACTTCCATTCTTTATGAGATTTTGACCCTCAGCGGTAAGTTCTTTTGTATATACCTTCGGACCACGTGCCTTAATGCGTGTCCTGATGCCGTTCGTTTAATATCTGCTTTTTTTTGATAATAGAAACAGAAGAGAATCATCATCCTTTCTCCTCCAGTTGGCTGCACCCTGATGTGAACAAGTAAAATAGCATTCTAATTAACAATTTCATAGATCTTTATACATTTATTATTGGTTATTGCAATTTTTAGAGACTTCTTGATTTTATTGGAAATTCTACGTATTCAAATATGGGGGCAGTGCGTACATGGCACCTTCTATTACATTGATCAAGACCGATCGCTGGGGAACACCCGCCTTCATTGCCTCCAAAAAACATAAATCCTGGTTAGGTGCTTTTACCGCTAAAGTGCATTGCACCCACGGTTTCACCTATGTTGACACGATGAACAGGCAGAGACCTAACAGAGCTGCCTTATCCTTATTAGAAAGTTTGAGCTGGGAGCTTAGTAATCCTATTTTTAACTAATAGATTGCTCTGGCCATCCATGGCGCCTGGCGGACGAAACTTGATTTTTTCTCTGTATCTCCGCCAAGGAATATTATTAACAAAAGCTGTGGAAATACATATTTTGTCTGTTTTTTTTCACATTTTTTATAGAAAAATGGGCCGACGAGTACAGTTGTCATGCCCCATAACACATAACTTTTAGTTCATATAGGCAGTGACATTTATTGCCG